ACAAGATAATGCTTATATTCATACCACAGTGCTTCTCGTGGTATTAATATACTGTCACTGTGAATTCCAGCTCCGAGCACACTCAGAACTACAAATGATCGTTTCCAGAAAATCCAGTAATCAATGGAAGGTTCAACACTGGTTCAGATCTCGGAAAACGGGAGAGCTGCATAGCAGTTTTCTTCATATGTAACATAGATACACGCTACTTTCCCTTAGCACATAGCCCTCGATCTGCTTTGCCTTAGTCCATTAACCTGAACTTAACTTTTAATCAATAGGAACAGATTTCAAATAACTGAGTTTCCAAGAAAGAAAAGGTTCCAAACAGCAAATCTTGAGAACACGTTAAACGTAAGAATAAGGAGCAGCCATATTTCATTTAGTAGAAGGGTGCGATTTAGCATGGGCAGAAAGGGTGTGGAAAATTTTTATAATGATATTAGCACTAAAATCAAATTTCTTAAAAAATAATAATATCAAGGGAAGGTAGAAACTTCTGTGACTCAACTTTGGCTCCCCTTCCCCTAAAAACGGCATTTTTTTGCCTTCTTAAGACAAAGGGTTTTTAGTTAAAATTACCCTCGAGACTGATAATTTTATTTGTAATCAAACCTGATTTAAAGTTACTTTTTGCATCAATTTACATAGGGCTATTTCTTTACCAAGGGGCTATTTCTATTTCTTTTCCATTCTTCTTGTAATAATATTCTTCTGTAATACTACTGAACTCCCGGATAAAAACGGACGAATCTTTTCGTACCACCCACTTTTCTATACATTTAATGCTATTTTAAACTGTTATAGCGATCGTCCAGAAGTACAAAACTCGGATATTATATCTTCGATTGAAATTTTGTTTGTATTTTTCAGCATTTCTGCAAGTTTTAATGGAAACTAGCGGGCAAGCCCGCCAGCTGAGCGGGCTGAAGCCCACTTTTCATTGTTCAATGTTCATGAGATTCCATTGTAATTTCGCCGGTATTCGAAAGTTGGACCGAACTACCAGTGTTCAGCAATTTTGAGCGGTCTGGTCCGCTTTGTTCACCTATGCATGGAGAAGATATTGCATAAACGATACACATGCGTAAACGCAAGAAAATACCCATGGAGCCAGCCCGTTCGCCGGGATCGAAAGTAGGACCGAACTACCAGTGTTCATCGGTTTTGTGCTGCCTGCGCCCGCTTTATTTATTCACATATGCATCCAGAAGACAACTGCATACACGATACACATGCGGAAAATCACGAAAACACCCATGCAGGCAGCCCGCTCTCTCGGATTCGAAACATGGACCGAACTACCAGTGTTCAGCGGATTTGAGCGGGCTGCGCCCCGCTTTATTTACGTATTCGTCCATTAGATACTGCATACACAATACACATGCCTAAAAATCACAAAAAAACACCCATGCAGCCAGCCCTTTCGCGGGTATTCGAAAGTTACATCGAACTACCAGAGTTCAGCACTTTTGCTCGGGCTGCGCCCGCTTTATTCACGTAGGCTTCCAGAAGATTCTGCATACAGGATACACATGTGTAAAATCACGAAAACACCCATTTATTCGCGTATACGTCCAGAAAATACTGCATACATGATAAATCATAAAAAACACCATGCAGCCAGCCCGATCGCCTTTATTCGAAAGCTGGACCGAACTACCAGTGTTTAGCAGTTTGTTTAGCGCGCGGGCTGCGCCCGCTTTATTTACGTATGCATCCACAATATACTGCATACACGTTACACATACGGAAGATTACGAAAGCACCTATGGAGCCAGCCCGTTCGCCGAGATTCGAAAATTGGACTGAACTACCAGTGTCAGCGATTTTACAGCTCAGGCTTTTTGCCAAGTGTAATCGCAAAAATTTTCGGGTATTATATTCAAACAGTAGATTCGTTATTAAAATTCCTTTTGATAAACTTTAACATAATCGCACACAAAGGTGCATCAAATATATATATTAATGTAAGTAATCAATCATAATTATTTATAGTAAGAAAACTTTTCCATATACCATATCCGAGCAAAACAGAAATTCAATTTAAAACCCTGAACGAAAAAAATTAATCAGAATTTAATCAGAATTTAAATAAATAGTGTAATTATTATTTTTTTTGCAAAAAAATAAAATTTCTTAATTAAAATTTAATTAATATTAGCTTTATGCGAACAGAGACATTATATTAATGCAAATATATAATATATAAAACAGTGAATGATTACGTAGCTCAGTAACACAAAAATGAGCACGCTGATTTAAGCTATTAGACATATTAATTTGTATTACTCAAAGTTGCTTTTCTTATTCAGATCCAAAAATCACGAATTATTCGAAAAATGCACAAAAAAATACGTATCTCGGCAACCGACAGTCCGATCGGCTCGTAATTTACAATCTTATAATTGCCAAATTTTGAAAAGAGGTTTGGTCTTTGTTCCAGACAGATTGGCAAATTAGAAGATTAATTAGCCATAATGAATAAAAAATCCTCCACTACTTTAATTTCATCCCTGGCGAATGGCCTTGACGATTCCAAAAGTCGTGCGGAAACCATCTCCCCCTCTCGACACCCGTCGCTTTCGAATCGAAGGCCGTCAACCAAAGAGTTAGGAAGGGGAGATAAGGTAGTAGTAGCGCTTTTTTAATGAATCTTCTAATTAGGCTCCTAATTAGCAAAACAGTTTTACAAACGAACACTAACCTTTATTTGAGCATCCGGGAAGTGCAAAATTCAAAATTTGAACGAATTCGGTTAATTCTTTCAAGAGTTACATATTTTTGTGCATTTTTCCGGCTGAATTCTCTGAATTCTCTCTAATTAAGAAAAAATGCACAAAAAAAAAAACACGTATCTCAGCAACCGGCAGTCCGATCGGCTCATAATTTACAATCTTATAATTGCCAAATTTTGAAAAGAGGTTTGGTCTTTATTCCAGAGAGAGATTGGCAAAATTAGAAGATTAATTAGCATAATGAATAAAAATTCTCCACTACGTTAATTTCGTCCCCCCGCTAATGGCCTTGACGATTCCAACTGGAAAACGGATACAGCTGCAACCCCTCAAAACCCCGTCGCCTTCGAAATCTCAGCCTGTCCACAAAGATATCGGAAGGAAAGAAAAAGGAGTATTAGTATTAGGGCGTTTTTTTTAAATTAACCCGTTTTTATTTATAGGCTCCTAATTCGCAAATCAGTGCGGAAAAAAATCAATTCCATCAGTCGTTTTATCCCCTGGAGGGGTTTAAAAAATTCAAAATTTCAAAGAAATCGGCCGGTAAGTTCCAGATTTACCGATTTTTTGTGCATTTTTGGGCTCAATTTCTCTAATTAAGAAAAATTAATATCTTGGGAACAAATAATGCGATCGGCTCCAAATTTAGAAATTTACAACTCATAGATAGTCAAATGAAGGATGCTCTTTGTTCTAGAGAGATTGGCGAATTGAGAATATTAATTAGCATAATGAATAAAAATTCTCCACTACGTAATTTCGTCCCCCGCTAATGGCCTTGACGATTCCAGCTGGAAAACGGATACAGCTGCAACCCCCTCAAAACCCGTCGCCTTCGAATCCCAGCCTGTCCACAAAGATATTGGAAGGAAAGAAAAAGGGGTATTAGGGCGTCTTTTTTTTAATTACCCTGTTAATTAGGCTCCTAATTCGCAAAATCAGTGCAGAATCAATTCCATCCGTCGTTTCATCATCTCGCGGGTTTTTAAAAATTCAAAATTTCAAAGAAATCGGCCGGGTAAGTTCCGGAGATACTGATTTTTGTGCATTTTTCGGGCTAATTACCATCTTTGCTAATTAAAGTCGCACGAAGATGCGAATGGCCAAAATGGCGAGCTACGGACGTCCTGAATCCAACGGTATGCTCCGCTAAGCTCTACACCCAGCCGTTTCGGAGAAGATGAGGTTATAAACAAACAAACAGACGCGCACAGATTTTAATAGTATAGAGAAACCGTTAAAATCAGATATTAGGATCCAAGTTCATTCTGCAAAGTAAATAACTTTGTTATTTTTTATTTAATTTTAACCCCTCTTTCTGTACATTCTAAACAAAGGTTATAAGAGACAGATGTAACAACCAACTTTAGGAGAACGAGGATATAACAAGCATGTCTAAAGAAGCCATATGATGTAGGAGACCACTGAACCAAAAAAACGTTAAGTGGAGTCTCTGATTCCATTCTAATTCTTTAACCAAGTTACCAAAAATAACTTTATTCAAGGCTAATTGCTCTGAAATTTTCGCTATTCAGGAAAAGAGAACATAGTGAATGTTATGAGCTTCCAGTTTTACAGTTAATTGTTCTTTTAGAGAATGAAAAGTTTTGACCCTTACCTGTTTGTTTTGTTTAAATATAAATGATCTCGAGGTTCTATTCTCTGAACAGTGGTTTTGCATTTTTTATGTCTTTTGCAAGAAATAAGTCATTCTTTATAAAAGTTATTGAATCTTTGTGTTGACCATACATATCTTGGAGAAAATGATTGTGAAGTCATTACACATTTGAGGAAAAGCATACATGATGGAATTAACTTTTCCTTTTCCTGATTTTCCAGAACAACAAAACTCTCACGTATTCTTTGATGAAACACTCTGTTCTGCATCAAAAACTCACTTGCATGGCAAGCTATAAACGTAAAGGTTCTGTACTAAAAATAAGGTGAAGATTATTAAAAAAATATGAAATCGATGCAGCTAAAACGATATTTGCTATAAATACAGTTTACCCAAATCTACACATGGCTAGTGTAGAGAAAATCGAAACTATAATTTCTGCTCACAGAAAAAAATTTGAATGCGAAAAAAAAAAGTTGAAACCATTGAAGCACATATATTGAAGAATCATTGATGAAATGGATCGGCATTCAAAGAAGCCATAACCTGCCAATATCTTAAACAAATTCTTCAAAGGCCAATGAATTTACCAGACACTTTGGATAGACTAGAAAAGAATGGACAATAAATTTAAGAACTGTGTGTTTAAGCCAGCATTCAATCAACTTTAATAAACATTTTCCATTTCGCTACATAAATAACAGAACACTAAAAATCCAAGACTTTTGATACTTCAGTTTTTAACAGTAATGTAACTTCAGTTTTTAACAGTTGATATAACAGTAAAACATACAAAAACACCAAACTTTACAAATGAAATATTAACAATAATATGGTAAACAAAAGACCGCATCATATAAAATCAACATTTTTTTTTACACAGTAATGATTTTAAGTAGAAATGAAATATATTAGTAATATGAATTCACATGAATTCAACAGAAAAAATACCTATTTTAATGCAAACCTAAAGTGAACTAAGTCATAGATGGCTTACATAGATTAAATGATACAATTTTCATTTTATTATTTTTATACCTGATAGATTACCCATTGCACTTAAAAAAACAAATCATTATTTTAAACATGGCAAACTAGAAAAACAACTGCATGTTTAAAATGCTATGTTTAATTGCAGCAAATAGATGCATAAAATACTGTGTGCATATGATTTAAGCAAAGGAAAATTTCAAAAATCATGTATTTCTGAATATGCAATATTTCTACTTTACATAATCCAAAATAACATATCACACTACAAAACAATTATACAACTTCCAACAAGTTTGAGCAAAATACAAATAAAAACTCAAGTCATGACAAAAAGTAATAACTATTTCTTCAAAATACATCATGATAGTTGCATGCTAAATTTTATTTTAAATGTATGAAATATTAGTATGTTAGTACTATTTGTACAATCATGCAAAACATACTTATCAGTTAAAATTTTTATGTTTAACTAAAATCTTTATTCTAAAGAAAACAAAATGTAAACTATATATATTTGTACATATCTAACAGAATCACATATTATCACATTTAAAAGTGATCAAATATTATAAAAATTTCTGACCATAATGCTGCATGTATTGTTCAATAAGAACAATACTGTCTTCATAAACAGCTCAGATGAAATGCCATGTAATAATGCAGTTTACATGAAAAATTGTTTGGGCAAAGCATTTCAAGAAGAAAGAAATTAATTACTATAATCAAAATTTCCTTATTAAAATATATTAAGTTATGAATAAACTTTTTGCAAAAATATTGAAAATTTTAATTTAAGATGAGCAAAGTGCAATTAATATACCTTAAATTGGACAGAAAAAAATATTGAAGTTTCAGTCATTTTACATCCAAAAGTTGCATTTACAGGGAAAACTGAAAGCTACTATTTATATCAAAAAAGATTGGGAGGAATAGTCTTTATAAATTTAACTTACGTTAGTAATCTGAATTAATATCAATTCTGTGAGATCCAAGAAAGTCAACCACAAATCATTAAAAGAAAGATAGTTCAAATAATATTTTAATACCGAGCATATGAATATCCAAACTAACAGCACATGTGCTAATGAATTAATTCAAGCACTGTTTAATATAATTTGCACCTGTAATACTTAAAATGTCTGAAAGACATGTTTTTAATCATTACAAAATATTACATTTTGCTATTACCACATGGCATATTCTCAAATCGCGTATTTTCAAGCATTTTTTGTATCAGAAGTACACAGACTGGCTGTCACTTCACCCCTATTTTACAATTTGTTACCACATGGCACATTTTCAAGTTGCACTAATTCATTCATTAGGAACATATCTAAACTGGCTGTTAACTTTAGTCTTCATACTGTTCAAAAGATGAAATATAAAAGGTAAATTGGTCATTTTTCCATTCAACAAATTTTCTGAAAACTGTTCTTTACATTTAATATATATATCATATCATATCACAATTAGGATGATATATTTTCTGAAAATCGCAATAACATTACTAAAAGAAAAATTATATTGGCATGAGAATATTGATTTATTTCTTGGCAAATGCTTTACAAAATGATTCCTCTCCCCCCCCCAAAAAAAGGGAAGGGTTTTTATACTAATCAGTTAAAACTAGAATTAACTATAAAATTTACATTAGAATTTAATATTATGTTATAATTATTAAAAATATAATTTAATTAAAGATGATATTTCTTGGATCAGTTAACTGGTAATTAGAATTTTCATTTAGACTTACCTCACAGCTTTCAACCAAAAAATTAATAAATTTAATACTTTTTTGATAAAATACTCATAATATGGTTCTAAATAACATACCTAATATGAATAATGCATGTAAGCATAATAAAAATACATAACACAACACTCTGAAATAATGTGCAGCATCATTTGTGCCTAAAGAAGGGTGACACAAGGCTTTTTACATTAAAATAATGCTAAAGAAATATTTAATTTTATCAGTTATTAAAATCTGTATAGAAATTTTGATTCTATCTCACAGGAAAAAATACTGTTATAAAAAATGATATCACTAAATTGCAATAATGCTTCAAGAAACAATAAATTGAAAAATAAAATCAGCTGCATACTGCATTATTTTGATAATTTTAAGATTTTATATAATATAAAAGTGTAAAGGGGGGATAAGAAGGATTATTTAAAGAGAATTAAAAAATAATATCAGTAGTATTCCAAGCAAATGCAATGATTATATTAAAAGAACTACACTATGCAATTTAAAATGTTTCTTTGTTAAGATACTTAAAGAGACTTTTAATAAGTATAGAATATTTACATTCATTTCTTGAAGTAACAGAGAAATGCCAACTTATCACATATACAACAGTACTGTGACCTAATATAAGGAATTTTTTGCTTAAACTCAAACCTGTACCATAAAAATGGTAAAATAAGATATTTTTCATATATCAGGAGGAAAAAAAATTCACTTTAAAAAATTTGTTACAGCATGTTTTCCTACAAACGTCATTTGTGCATTATCTATTATGTAAAGTGAACTTCAATAAATTCAGATAATTGCATGCTTCATTCCTGATGATCAATACGGAAAAACCGATTTCAGTAAAAATAATGAATGCTGCATCTTCTGATTTTCCATGAAGTACAAGAGAGGTCCAAATGTATACTGAAAAAAAAAGGGGGGGTTCATCATTATTCAGTTTTTAAATCAAATTTAAAGCTACTCCAAAAATAAAATAATCTTACACAAAGGAATTATTATGCATTTATATATACCTGGAAGAAATAGCTTGTTCTGCGGAATGTAATGGTAATAGTTAATTTACTCTGAGCTTCTTTCAGTTTCACAAAACCAAATTCAATTCGGGGCATGAGAAAATTGTCTCCTTCAATAACAATGAGCTTTCCCTTTTTGAATTCTGTTACTCGATATAACATCTGATATTCACCTAATGATGAGCAAAAAATATTTATCAAAAACTGGCTTAATTATGTTATTAAATATTACTAAATTATAATTCCTCATAATTACAAACTAAAATGAAATGCCACCTACATTTTATCATTTTCAAGCAACTTAAAAAAAATAAATAAATAAAATAGCTATGCTAAATGTAATTTAAAACAGAATTACAGAAAATATTAATATTCTGATATCTATCATTTTAAAAAATGATGAATTCTCGAACAAATGAGAAGATATGATCTCGAACAAATGAGACAGATTTAAAAATATGATTAGGAAATTTAAATCATTCAAAGCTATTTGCTAAAAAACAACAAGAATCATAAATTATAAATAAAGTTTTAAAGTTTATTATTATTGCTGTTGTATTTTTAGAATATATAGTTTTATAGCATATTTATTTATCACTAAATATGATACAAAAAATACTCATCCTTCATGTTTTTCTATAACAGATTTCCCTTTTTGCTCTAATCTTAAAAAAAAAAAAAAATTATGGGAATAATAGATTGATGAAATAACATATATTACATGAAGTTTAGGGGGCTCTTTATTTTAACAGACAGAATATCATTATTTTTATAAAGGAATAAATGATTTGGAGGCTTCCTTCGAACGTAGAGCCTCTGCTGGGTTGCACGATCCTATGAATTTGCATCCGAAAATAACACATACTTATTTCTCAACTCATCTTTAATCCTTAATAGATGACAAAGTTTGCTTAAATAATTCTTACCACTTAGATATGGCTGCCTGCCATTTACGAGTTAAATATGCTCATATAGCAGAATTAATTATAGGAATTACTAATATTCATGAAGGAGGAAACCATGTATGAAAACTGCGATAAACTTCATGAAGGAGGAAATCATACATGTAAACTGCTTTTAAAACTCCCAGAAAAGACCATTCTTGGATCTATGAAGTCTCAAATTTACTTTGTCTTTTTTTTTTTTTTTTTTGGTTTACTCTGTGAATATTTAAATAACATTCATACTGAACAGGGGGAAGAATATAAACTGGGAGATAATTACACGTTTTAAATTAAAATAACAATTTTTCAAATTAAAGTTCATAAAAATTTGTATTTATAGTTAATAATTAAATAATAAATTACACATTAAATATATTCTTAATTGCTAAGAATTACAAGCATAATCTCTCAGCACATTTATTACTATAAAGAAAATTTATTATTCAAAACAGCAATTATTGTATTTAAAAAAAAACTAAAACTGTAAAATTCTCATTTCATTAAGAAAACTATATATTTAGAAATATTTCCAGCAGTTTTCTATGTAAATAAATGAAAAAACACCACACAGCTTTATTTGGGCAATTTATCTCTGATGCTAGTAACTAAAATCTGTACTGAATTATAATAAATTATGTACATCAAAATACATATAAAATATATATCTATAACTTACCATACAAAGGAATGTCATAAACTGCATATAATTTTTTACCCACACCTAAGGGTCGACCATCAGCATCTCGTATTCGTGATACAAAAGGGAACCACTAAAATTATAGCAATATTCAAATAAATTTATTTTAAATAATATGTTTATATAAGTTAAATTTCGACAATAATGAAAGATTTTTTTTAAATACCTGGGCAATAAAAGCATCTATTACAGAAAACTCATGTGTTATTTTCCCCTTCTTACACAAAGAGAAGAACACAAATGTTCTTCTCATGGTGTAATTGGAGAGGACACTAGGTTGGTAATCATAAGGTCCAAATCATGAATCCTGATGAGACAAGAGCTAATCTCACTCTGCTTTAAAAAATGATTCTACAGGGGGCACCTAAACTAAAATGCGGTTGAACGATAATTTGTCACCACCAGGACTTAGCGAATGGGCTACATCCTCCCTAATTAATCTTTAAGTGTGGCAGAATATAAGGGATTTGTGTCCTCACCGCATGCATAGCACGTCTGGCTGGCAAGTGGAAAAATCTGGAGTTTGAATCCCAGCAACAGTATAGCAGATTATCTATCATTTCTTATTCGAAAGCTTCTAAAATGACTCTAGAAGTGGCACCAGAACTATGACATGGGACAATTTATCATCACCAGGATTTGGCAAATGGGTCCCATTCTTCCAAGTTGCCCTTTTTGTGGGGGAGAATATAAAGTATTTCTCTCTCCTTACAGCACTCTCATGGTGTAATTGAAAAACACTTCGCACTGGCAATCGGAAGATCCGGAGTTTGAATCTCTGCAAGGGAAAATCTCATTTTTCATGTCTCCTGCTTCTAATGATCTAATCCAACTGCACAACCAAAGTTTTATTTCCTATATATTATACCAGCTAACAAAAGCTTCACTTAATATGAAGTTAAAACTATGTTCCCTTTACCTATGGTATACAGGTGTACTTTCATAAATATCATCAGGTGTTAAAGTTTTTAAAAAACTTTCTGAGACATTTTTACCATTTTGTTAACATCATGTCTTGATCACAGAAATTATGTCTAAAAGGAAAAAAAAAAAAAAACAAAAAAAACAAAAAAAAAAAAAAAAAAAAAAAAAAAAAAAAAAATGCCAATCTAAGCTGCAAGAACCTTTCATTTATCTTCTAAATTATAACAGTACTTTGCTTATAAGTTTAAAACAAAGTGAACACAGTAAAACCAGACTTTTAAGCAATATTTCACAGTCTGTAGACATTTAAACCATTATTATAATTCATAAAAAAAGTCTTTCTTAAAGTGCAACTGCTATAAAATTTCTATTTCATTCTTCTACATATATTCTGTAATGGCAACTTTATCGTTTGGCCAACTAAGCTTTTCCTCTGCTCCATTACGATTACTGTGGATTTACTGTATTAATCTATTAGATGTAAAATTTAGCAACATGAAAATAATATAAAAGTTAAGTTTTTGATAACTGGCATATTCCACAACACTAACAATTCTTTTCAAAATGCATATGCTGTAATAATGGCTTAGTTTCCTTTTAAGAACAAATTAAATAAATTATGTATGTTTTTATTTCAGAATAAAGATAAATAATTCTAGAAATGTGAGTGAAAACAAGTAATTATAAGCTATCACTAATAAAATGCATCTCTAGTTTCTTATTACGCTAACTACGCAAATCTGAATCCAAGCAACCGGCATGAGAAACTTGAACCTATGGATTAAATGATATCAGTTTGCAAACAAAAGCAAACAATGACCACAGACATTGCAGTATTAAACTGCAAATGCGGAAACATCAAAGGACAGTTAACAAAGATTTTAAGTGAACTTGGTATCACACAGTGACAAGCTAATTTGGATAACGGTAGGAAATATTCATGAAAAATTGGAAGGGCTCAAATCCAATTAGGCAACTTTTTTTGAATGGGCAATAAACATGCCAACATGGCTAACTCGATATTTTGATTCAGTACAAACCGAGGAGGTTAGAATAGAAGGAGGGAAGGTTTGCAGTTTCCTCCACTATTGGGGAATGAAACCCTATCTAACAAGCTACATCCATATTTGTAATTTCAAAACATTGCATTATGCCAATGAAACGTACGTGTTTCTAAATATATTAAATTTATAATGAAATGCCTCACTATAGTTACATTTTTCTTTTAAAGTAATAAAGATGATATCCATAATTTACTATATACAGAAAATTATTAAGAAATAGTTCGAAATCTAAATGAATGTATATAACATTAAAGCCTTTAAAAATGATGTTTCTGCATACTTCAAAGATTTGCTTAGGTTTTATTAGCAATCTGTTGGGTGCACTTTCTAATTTTTCCTTTCAGAAGTGATATTTCTGATTTATTCACAATATTATCATAATTTAGTACAGAATAATTTCATATGCAAATGTTTAAGAGATAAGGAAAGGAAGTTATTTTATTTTAGTATGCTTAATGCTTCAGATTTAAGTTGTAATACACTAAAACAGAAATTCACATATTTTTTTGTTGCAATAGCAGCTGTTGAAATAGCTAATTTTAGGAGACTGATACTTGCTGCAAATAGTATTTCATTTTCTTCTTTTTTTAAAGCATTTATTGGCATAATTTTAAAATTTAAATATTGATTAAGATAAATTAATTTAAATCTTAATTTCAATAAAAAAACGCATTTTAACTTTTATCCATTTATCAATTTTTAGAGGTTTTTCAGGGTGGAGGAGTGTTCTTGTGGAAACTTGAGAAAAGTGTTAATTTTGATTCAGCTACATTAAATGAAATAACTTCATGGACTCAGAAAATCCAAAATGCTAAACAAATAGAGATAAAATAAACAGCAAGCAGATTTGCATGATGCATGTCAAAAGTTACAGCTAATTAAGGGATGGTGGATTTAGATAGTTGCTCAGCTCAGTGCATCTCCAAGTTCCATTAAAAAATTAAAAGCTTATGTAAATTCCATTCTAACTTATTTCTAATGCTTTAATGATGAGAAAATTTTTACATGTAAAGGGAAAATGTCTTTGGCTGATCTCTACATATAATAAAAGAAAGAGTCTGTCTGTGTGTCAGTGTCTTTCGTTCGCACTGCGCATAAGCTAATAGACCAACGGCTACGAAATTTGGTACATAGGTGCATCTAGACAAGAGCCAGTGCACCTCGAAGCGATGTTTTCGAAATTCGAATTCGAATTTTTTTTATTTTATGTTTTGTGATGAAATTGCTTCATTTTCAGACATAATGGGCTATAGGAAAGTGAGATTTTACTCTACACACACCATTTTCACATCATCATGAAACATAAGCACTTAGCTATTTTACAAACTTAAAATAAATTTCGTGATTCAATAAATCGATTAAATACGAATTTATTTAACAAAGTGGAGCTTAACAAACCTTTTCAACGGGATTTTTTTTTTCTAAAAAAGTTTATTTTAAAAATGTACAGTTTTATTTTCTTTGATTTTTGGACACGTTAAACTTTCATCCTTGCGAACTGCTTTTACAAAAAGAATTTTGGAAAAAATGATAATATTGTTTTTTTAAAAAAAAATTTTAATGAAGCTTCCGAGTACACTTCTCACATCTCACATCTTTAAAAATGTGATTTTGGCAACAATTTCCTTTTCTTATTGTTGTTGATATAGATTTTTGATGAATCGCATCATTTTGAATAGTTTCATTCTTTTAGAAATATGGGTTTGGCAACAATTTTTCATCGCATTTCTTATGTCACCGTTTTTTAAAGAGATGGCATATTTCATTTGTCATTTTTTTTTTTATATATATAATACATTTTTTTATTGATTTTTTTTTTTTTTTTTTTTTTTTTTTGTTTTTTTTTTTTTTTGAGTTTCTTTATGTTATTTTTTGCTTATTTCACCATTTTGTAAGATATTGAAAAAGTTTTTGCATGATTTTTTTTTCTTCACAGAAAGTTTGGTTAATTTTTAATTAGGATGAATTAATATTTGTATTAAAGGGTATAGCTTATTTCATTGTAATTTTTTTCTCTTTGAAAATATAAGATATCAATTAATTATACTTTGCTTTTTATAGAATTTTTTGTTTTTTTGTATTCTTTATGTTATTTATATTGCTCATTTCACTGTTCTTTAAGATATTGAAAAGTTTTTTTGATTTTTTTTACGGAAACAAAGTTCTTAACCTCCTTTATACCAGAGTTCTTAAGATTTTGCAAAGGGAAGTTCGTTAATTTATTTATTAAGATAATTAATATTTGTATTAAGGGATATTGTTTATTTCATTGTAATTTTGTTATACGTAATAACTTTTTTTTTATGAAGTTGTTCTGCTGAGTAAAATTCTACGCAGTTTTTAAATTTAACGTTTGGTGTTCCCTTCAGCCATTTTTCTTGTACATTTAAAAGCCAGACGAAGGCTGGCAGTGAAGCTGTTAGTATTTAATAAAAAATGCAACAGCGAAAAAAATCATGCCCATTTTTATTAAAATCACAACACACAGTACACACAATAACGCATGACAACGGTTACTAATATAATAATTAATAGATTACAGAGGTATTTAAAGATGTTTATAAAAAAAAATTATATTCAATTATAGTTCAAATATACCTTTGGCCATTTACATAGAAAAAATAATGTTTTAAAGACAATTAAGAAGAAAACTATAAAAAGGAATAAATATCCTAATAATTTTACATCCAAAATAATAAGCCTTCAGAAAAAACATAAATCAATAAATGTATAGCATTCTGAAGCAAAATCCTTTCATTGATTTAGAAAAACATTTGTAACACTTTCTTCTTCATAAAACAGTACAGAAGTATAATAAGATATTCATTATAAATATATTTATCATGTCTGGAAATATGCAACCGAGTATTTTTTTTAACTTCAGGTTATTTACTGAACCTTACAAACATATAAAATTTAATTTTTAAATGTAATAAGCAGATGGTTAAATACGATAAGTATTTTGCTTACATTTTAAATTACATTACATACCTTTCTGTTTTATATCCAATATGATATACTATTTCAGCTTATATATCTAGAAACAGAGGTAGAAATGTTTCCATAAACTATATATCACATGTAA